TTTCGCTGTTGGACAAAAAATTCCAAAACTCGTATTACCATCAAATAGCTACTGGAGACGGAATGGATGACGCAGGAAAACAAATCATCGCAGTTCAATTTTGCCAAAACCTTCCCTGCGAACAGTATGAAACCAATACGTACAAATGCGAATATCTGCTCCAGCCAGACGGACGATGGTGATGGACGATGATATTTGTCCTCTGTCGCATGATGATGAGATTGGTATAGATGACCAGATCACCAGTCTGCATCTGAGGGTACCGGACGGAACGTGCATCAGTCTGGTCGATGACGATCGGATTGGCTAACAATCAACAATAGGAGCTTTATTACTACTAGAAGTCATTGTGATACAGATGATAGTGAGATACTACTGGTGGTGTTGGATGGTGATGCTGACGATAAGTATGCTGCTGACGACCGGAAGGAACACTTCAGCACGATCGGTCCAGTATCAGTAGTTGCCAGTCCATATGATTCGAATTTGCGCATTTGCGCACAACAACAGCGACGAAAGCGTGCTTGGGAAACAAAACCATCCGGTCTTCGTCATGATGTCAGCATCTTCCGTTGCTCCAGTTGCGGACCATGACAGTAAGAGTGATTTGGAGGCTCCGGTGTGTGACGCAGAAATGAGAACAGCTTTTCGCCTGAATACAAATCTACTGTATTTCACGTACCTATATGAGCCTCAAACTATTTTCTATCAGTTTCTTCAAGCAAAACCATATAGCGTTAAGTGAGTGCAGAGCTATTAACAAATGAGTAAATTGTGCGAACAATTGAGCATGTCAACCCTGGATGGGAAGATAACTATGCAAAATATGTGGATAAATTATATGAGGATGATGATGTGTCATTATCCATGGTTCAAAATCTTCTATTGTGTGCTCCAAAATCTATTTCATTTTCAAAGCATCTTCATGTCTTTAAAAGTCTTCACAAAACATGAAATGTCTTCATAATGTCTGCGGAAAATAAAAGTCTTCACAAAATTTAAAATGTCTTCATCATGAAGGCATGTCTGCAAATCTGGCACCCCTGCTATCATCGAGAACGCAGAATAAAAGGTAGACAAAAGGTGATGTTAGCTTTTGTGTGAACTGATCTATGAAGCGTGATTTATAGACAATCCATAATATTCCAGTTTCAAGCTATGGATTTTCGTATATTTTTGATAGATTTGAGATGAACTAAAAGCCTCTCTTAGGCCTCCGAAAAGGCGCAGCTATAAAGAAAAACCATGCTGGGGTGACTCTGATCAATTCCCAGTTAAGGAATATTTCGGGATGAAAAAAAAATGTCTCGCCTCCTCTGGACATAGACTATGATTTTGTACTTGCCACACAGTAATACTAATGCAAAAATGGTACGTGCTTAAACGCTGTCCAGACTGAGCAGTTATAACATGTTATAACGGTTGTCAAATAATTGCAACACAGAAACCACCATCAAGATAGCGCTTTAACATGTTATAACTTCCTTTTTTATTCTTTATTATGTTATAACTCTGTTGTATGCATGAACTATTAGAAAGCTCTAAATTAACAACTGTGCTAGTGCTTATCGAATACTAAGTTGGGAACCAGCGTAAAGTCTCTTATATATCTTACTGAAATACACCATTTTGAAGTAGATAGAAATCTCAAGTAACATTTCAGGTTTTATCATGGTTTTAACGCATTTTACAAGTCTAAATCATGGTCTACAGAACCCTCATAAAACTCAAATTGTTACTTGATATCTGCGATGCATTATATTTTAGGAGATGTTGTTAATTTTTGATTGTCACTTTATTGAACTTAAATATTTTGGGAAGGGCCCGACAAAGTGTTATTTTTGAATATCCTATACCGAAAAAAAAATCTGAATTTTTATAGTGATGTAAACATCCATGCAAACATTCATGGATAGAAATTTTCTTTTCACGTAAACTAGCAACTTTCAAGAAATATTGCTAACAAAGATGGAAGGTTGCACACAATATTTGGAATATTTAATTAACTGTCACATACATTTACACGAGCTATAATGTAAATTTGATTGATATATGTGCATCATAGAAACGGAAATTTACACTACTTTTTCGAACTGTGTAACCGAGCATCCGTTTAAGTTAGATGTTAGAAAAAATTAAATTTTCACTGTTCGGATTTTTTAAATCACACAGTTTATGAACTACAAAATACGAATAACCCAAGCTAATACTCTTATAGAGAGTATAATTTAAAAAAAATTGTGAACAATGACTTCAAACGTCAATTAACTTAAACTGCTAGATTTCCCACGCAAACTAACACCAACCGATGGAAATTAACGATTTTAAATTGGCTCACTACTTGACTACCCTATTGGTCCCAAGCAAATCGGTTACCGTACCCCATTCTAGTCGAAATTCTAGTACTACACTATGTTTGTTTTGATCCGTTATGAAAGTTTGACTCATAAAATGAGGGGTTCGTGGATTTTTCTATGTTTCGAGGGGTGCATTGATTAGCTTGGAACCGAAGAGAGTACCAGAGCTGAGCCAAAAAGTTGAGCACGTTTCTTCGGGAGCTTCTAGTCTTAGAGTTACCTCTATGCCAACACCACCATCAGGTTTTGGAGGATTTGGTGCCTACCTGATGGTGCTGGTAGTTTATTTGGGTGAACTAGGGGATTCGGTAGGGGAGACTTAATCTTTAGTTTAATTTCATGATGATGCGTTGTAAATGTCACTCAAGTTCTCAAAATTGAGCTTAATTTTTCTGTAGTAAATACCGACTACTTGCATTAAATTTTTAACGTACCATCATGAACATTAACTGGATGGATCGAAATTCCTAGTTTCCCCTACCCCTGGGAAATTTATTATATGTCTGTTCCAGTACTCGTTTTTTTGCTAATGCTGTAAGCTGCTGTAAGAAAATGATATGCTGAAACAGACCTTATATTGAGTGTCTAACATTTAATCATGAAAAATCAGTTCAGCCATCGCAGAAAAAAGTCAGTGAGTATTACTGTTTTACGAAAAAAAATATATTAATAATCATTTCTCCGATCGACATCAAATTCAATAGAGCTCTTTGAGAAATAATTACAAACAAAAACGAATCAGACCCACTCAAATCGGTTCAGTTATCGCATAAAATAATATTACTGTTTTTTTCACAAATATCCACTATTTTGATAATATCTCTGGAAGCAAACGTCCAATCATGATGAAATTCCACAAAGTTCTATGGTAAATAAATACAAACAAAATTAAATCGGTTGCACTAAAATCGGTTAAGCCATTTTCGAGAAAAGTTAGTATAGTAATTCAAGCTGAACATTGCTTTGATCGATTCTCTTCGTCGACTTTCTCTTTCGTTAATAACATGAGCACATAACCGTTTCTGGTTGTGTTTGTCGCATTAGATGCTAGATAAAAGCTTCTTTTATCGATCTGTGTGCTGAAAATACCTGGAAATGTCTTTACATGGCCGTGGGAATACAAAGAGAAAGTCAACGAAGAGAATCTGTCAATGTTACTAAGGACCTAATGCAATATTCAGCCTGAATTCTCTAAAATATCCATACAAACTTCAAACCACTTATGTGACTTCTCAACCATCATAAGATTTTGAGATGACTCTCGGCTATGGCAGTCTTAAATGATCAGGATAAACGAAATTTTATGTCTACTATCCGACGTGATATATCTCGATGAACATTTCAAATGCTGCATTGATCGATTTTCTTCATTGACTTTTTCTTTTGACAACCACTGCCATGCAAAAAGATTTCACGCTAATTTTATCACATGTCTGATAAAGGAAGTTCTTATCCAGCGTCCAAAACGTCAGATACAACAGGGAAAGGCTTTGCAGCTGAGTTATTAACGAAAGAGAAAGTCGATTAGGAGAATCGATCAGTGCAGAGACGACCTTTTGATATGTTTATCTAGATGTCACTCAAAAGAAGGTGGTATATTTAATTGAAATGGCGCCGGCGGGTAGTAGATGTAAAATTTTATGTTGCTGCTTATTTACGAGAGCCAAAATGTGCCTCTCAAATTTTTCTGATTACAGGTTGAAAAAGCAGCCCGGGGACGTATGAAAATCTTGCATTCTCCAGTTCGCTGTAGTGTTGCAAAAACACTACATAAGATAGAACGCTACTTCGATGTAATCGCCCATTTCCGTTCTATCGAGCACAAAACCTCAATAATATCAATAATACGTTTGTTCCTATGCGTTAGTTCATAATCTGCAACACAATGCCTATTAGAGCGCAAAGTATGAACATTTATACCCATTGATCTCGAAAACAAAAAAAGCGCTCCTAGGACGGAATGGAAGCTCGTAGGAGGTATTTGGAATCAAGAAGCAGTGTTATATTACTATCAATATCTCAACAATTTCTGACTCATTATCAATATCGCAAGGTACGTAATTGGAAATGTCCAATTAATTTAAAAGACATCAATAGCAGAGTCATCTTTTCTTATCGAATCGAAAAAGATAAGTTGAAGCGCGGGTTGCGTTAAGTAGGGCGGAAATTAGATCAAAAACCCTACATCAGGACATAATATATTTAGTATCTTGAATAAAAAATGATATCACATCTTCAAAATATGAATAAACTTAAGCTGGGATAGTGATGGAAATATTTCACATTCAGTTTAAAATATCCCCTTAAATCCCTCCCCTCTTATTGCAGAACTACACGGGCTAGGTTAGGTAACAAGAGATAACTAAGGTAGATATTATCATACAACTCATAGAATTGTACAGCCAATGTATTAACGAACGTAACATTACGTGATAACACGTCACCTTAGATCGAATATATTCAGATTATACCGCGTCATGAAGTTTAATTATAATCCGCAATACACGAATATCTAAATCTGATCATCGTTCAATAAAGTTGCCTAGATGTTCACAAAGATTCCGGAACCATTCCTGCCCGCTTTCCAAACATTCAACCTCTAAACGTGCAACCACAAATCTGGTTTTCGTAAATAATACTTACAAACACAGGTAGGCAGTTCCTTCGGGATCCATGATCCATCCGCCTGGCAGTACCGCTCGACCTTTCCAACCAACTCGTATCCCTCTCCGCAATGGTACGTCACTTTTCCTCCAAAGGTATAACTCTCACCGGAATGCCATCCGTGGTTCGGATCGGATGGCTGTCCACAGGAACGAGCTAAAATAAAAATAAAACATTCTTGCACAAGCCACCACTTTATTTTCACCGATTCTTTCAACTCACGTTCGCAGGAGATGTCCGGCCCGTACCAACTGGCTTGTCCATCGACTGCTAAGCATTTCGCTCTGGGGAAACCAGCCGTTGCATATCCGGTGTGACAGTGATACTGAACCGTCGAGTCCAAATCAAACGTCGCCTGTTCCGGAAGGGCCGAATGCCGTGCGTGTTCAATTACCGGAGGCTGTAGACAGTAAACTGAAAGAAATGCGAACAAATCGTAACTACCTAAACCAAACTGTAATCTGATCGACACAAACTTACTGTTCTGTTTGCAAATCGGTTCGCTTCCGGCCCACGTTCCATCGGCCTGACAAAGACGGCTTTGTAAGCCAACCACGTGGTAACCATGGGGACATGTGTACACAGCACGTGATCCGAAATGTTTTCCAGACACATTGACGACGCCCATCGGCGGTTTGTCCACCGGGGGACACTCTCGGTCCGGCTTGATACACGACATTCCACAGGCACCATCGCAGAGGCATTTTTTCTTCTTGCTTTTGCAGTCTTCGTCCGAGGAACATTTTCGCAGACATTTTTGTCCCTGGCAAAAAATAGCATCGCATGATTAGAATGGATTGTGCACGCACAGCTATGAGTCACATCAGAGGGTGTTTGAGTATATGACCTTACCAGCAGCGTCGCTTGCTCCTCGTCTCGCGGACACTCGCTCGAGGGCAAATTCCGTGGATTCTTGTAGATCCGCCCGTCGTCGTCCGCTTCGGACGACTCGTCCTCTTCGTCCCATTCGGAGTCGTTGTCATCATCCGCCTCGGTAACCGCCGAGGTTGGGACACAGTAGGCTAGTCACCGAGGAAAATTGAAAAATAAAAAATACAAAAGTTTAGCTAGTGAGCGTGTGAGTGATAAACCCAAAACAGGCCAATCAATGCCAAGTGGGATACGTTTAGGGGGGCTTTTTAAATTCCTACGTGCCATGAATATGGAAAACAAACAAACAAACCAAACAAATAGATTGACAAATACCAACCAACTTACACCCAACAGACAATTTGACCCACAAATGTTACCCACTTGACTAGAACGATACAAAGACGGTTTAAATCCAAAGTGACTAGCGCAAAGAAAATAGTGACCGATAACTTTTCCGTTTTTTTTTTTTCGTTTTGCCTGTTTGATAGTAATTATGACTGTAGAATGTGTATTTAGACTCCGACAACTTATTGACGATTAATTATAGGTAAATTGATGCAAGATTTCGATCAAGTGACGATAATCACTGTTAATCACAGACCACCTGACAAAAAACGTTATTTTCTGTAAGTCACCAAAATTGTAAATTTTGAAACATCTTAAGCTATGTAACAATTCTTTGTAGATCCCTTGAAAAAGATGGAATATACCATTGAAACGTTGGGAGTAGAGGAAAAACATCGTTTTATGGAAAATATATTGTACAGATTCGGACAGTTTTCATAGGAATGTCATGATTTATTTGAATTCCCTAATCTGGATGTCGCAACCAACTCTTAAGTCTCTCGATGAACTTCCAATAACTTCCAGAAAAATCAACAGTACCAAGGATTTCCGAGGATATGATAAAGATTTGTAAGTGATATTCAGAATATCAGAATATATATATGCGCAACCTCTGGCTATAATCATATTGTCGAGCAGTTTTGCGCGATTTTAAGGAAATGATCAGCGAATCCAAATACATAAAGCAACCAACGATACAGTCAAAACGCTTGCTACGACAACCACCACAAACCCTCTCTGCAACACAGCTCGGTCGGAGTGGTAGGAGCATAATGATATATTGCTTGCCTGCTTTGTTGCAATATACTTGGTTGAGGACATAGCTTGATCGGAATTAAGAAAAGACAACAACAAAATTCCCATTAACACACAGCCAAAGATGATGGCTTTACTTTGTAAAGCAGCTTGCCAACAATTTGATCAATTCCTTCTACCGAACCAATCGAGCTTTATTCCAAAGACCGTTTGTCATGAAAAAAGAGAAGATTATATCATTATTGCTTTCCATTGCTGACATAGCGTTATCATTCGGCTGGTTGATCGCTTGTCATTTTCTCATTTTGAAATATTTGTGATTCCTGGGAAATGATGCAATAAATTCCAAATGATTCTGGCCTAAGAATTTTTTCTAAATATTGTATCACGTCAAAGTTCACATCTATTTATTTATTTGTTTACCAATTTTGGCAGAACAGCCACACAGACTGTTCAAAAATACGTAATTCCATTCTTAAGAACTAGTCCACAAATATTAAAATAAAATACCTCATACACGTCATTAAATATATTGATGTGCTGAAGCACACTACTGTAATCGATATGATTACGAACAACTTCTTTAGGACACTATGCAAACTCGAAAAAGTTTGAAGTCCAATGAGTGCGTATCTATGATCGTATGGAGGTAGATTTTCATGGTTGGTCCACGGAACCGGAAGCCACCACACGCACTTCTACGCCAAAGGATCAACATTTAAAAACTGAACATGATGGCCCAAGCTATAGATAATATGATAGAGATTGCATCTAACTACAGAATATCACTCATTTTATTAAAAAATACATTGCAAATTATTAGAACAATCCTTTAAAATACATGCATTATGAGCATGATAAATTTTGATATTGATCGCCTAGTCATAAACTTAAAACTTTCATAAGGCTCAACTTATGAACGACACATTTGAATTTCATAAGTGTGACTTACAATGTATCGCAAAATTGAGCGTACACCCTAATGGAACAGTTTTTGAAACATTCTGAATAGATATATATTTTTTAATCTTGGTTGGTGGTTAAACAGATATTTATTGATTTATCGTTTTAGTTTTGGACTTTATTGGAATAACCTGTATGGAGTTAGATTTATTTTGGCAAACGCCCAATTTTCAACTTCTAACCTAGTGGACGAATTTAAGTAAAATTAGTGGAAAATGAATAATCTTTATTACGACTAAAAATGAGCAAAACTTGAAAAAGTTTAGTTCATTATATTTCAAGATATTAAGGTTTTTCAATGAAAAGGCGTTTTTTCTCAAATAGCTCTTACTTTTAATAAACGCAACCAAATAAGCCCAACACTGTTGATAAATTTATGATGATTCATGATGATTCAGAAATTCAGAAAAGTATCTCTTTAAATTGTGCTTTTAAAGCCGTTTTTTTTTAATTTCAGGACATCTGTACGCTCAATTTTGAGAAACACTCAATGTAAGATTTTCGTCCACCATATACGCCTTTAACTAATTCATTTAACCAAGCGTTGAAAGACGAGTGGTCAATACACGGGCCCCGTTATTTCAACGTTCATAGTTCAGTTCCAGTCTGCTCAGTTTTATTAATTTTTGCCAACATTATTTTTTATACGCTAAATCAATGAAATTCATATCGAGTTCTTAATTCCTTTATTTAACGTCGGTCTCTGTTCAGTATCTAGTGCCAATCACCGACGGACATGGATTGCCATCCATTGACGGCAATCTAATGTGCAGGAAGGCAGCTTCCACACCTGCGTAGGATATCGCACCCATTCAATTCAACACACATGGGCCGGGACTAACGGCTTTACTTCCCTTCCGAAGGAAGACGTGACCAGAGATTTTTATGCCTCAGAAAAATCCCACCGACCTCGGCTGAGCCGATATTTATTAGTTCATTGTTTTTAAAAATATTCACTTATTTCTATGTCTAGTAGGAGTTGAACCAAACACTTGTGGCTTACCCGAGGTTAGAGGGGTACATTATTGAAGGATAAGAGGGAGTATCTTGGGGTGGGGTTTCGTTTAAATTGCACCTATTGACATAGTGTTTATATTAGTCAATCAAAAGCATGTAAAAGCTTTACCTATTTGATATTTTTGCTCAAATGTCTTCCCACGATATTCCAGAATACGTTGAATAAATCACTGGTATTTTTGACTCTGCATTTCCATCCAGCAAATACTTGTATCATAAGCAAACATGGACCTCTTTGAATCTGTCTGCATTAAATAACTTAAAATTTTATAGCATCTTAAAATGTCAGGAAAAGAGGGTATAAAAATCGCTAAAAACGCTTCCATAAATCGTGGATGACACCTTATATTTCAAGTTTAAGCTGTAGTTCAGAGCAGTGCTGAGTTGCATCACGGTACTGACAGCCTTTAGATTGACAAAAGAGATTCCTACGATTAACAATCAAAACAACTGAGAACCCTCTCTCCATTAAACTTCTCACCAGTATGACGCAACAACCGTGAGATATCGTTGTTTTGTTTTTCTCACTCATTCGCAATATCACTAACATCTGCCATGTGTTACCATCATATCACCGAGGAAAAATAAACAGACATATAAATTGACCATCATCTCATTTCGAGCATAAATACGGTTATGATGGTCATTCCCCTTCCAAAATCACAGATGAGGTGATAGCTGTGATGTATCAAGGAAAAATTCTTATCCTGCGTTATACAACCGTATCAAAACCAGTAATTATTATTGTGAGAATTCATATCTGCATGAACACGTACTTCCTGCAGTCACGAATGCTTATTCATGGATAAAGATTTTGCAGCTATTAATTTTTTCGGATATCGTGACGCTTGAGCTCCAAGAATAAGGATGCTAACCGCATATCTTATCCACATTACCGAAGCCCAAGTATCAAGGGATCCGTAAAAAGCAAAACCAATAAAAAATCCTTGCGTAAATAGGAATTCCCCCTAGGGGCATCCCACTCTAAACTTTAGTTCTAATATCAATTAAATATTTTTAAATCTGTCATAAGTATTCTTAAGTATTTTTAAGTATTTTCAATCCTGGATAGTTTTCATCGTAGTGACCGGTTGTTAGTATAGTTGTTTGTTGTTTTAACTTGGACGATTTATGACTTTTCGTCTCGAATTTAGTGGAATTTATACCTAATTTTCCCAGTTTTAATTTAAATTATATGTGTAATCAGGTTAATTAATGGGTAAGTATTATAATTTGATTTATGAAATAGTGTAACAAAGTAAACAATTTTTTAGCTAACCAGGTAGAATATTCACTGGACTGTTTTCATTCATCCGAATTAGGGTAGATGTACCAGTTATGGCTATACGTTTCTATTATGGTGTGTTCCAATTATGGCCTATGGGAATTCCATAGGCCATAACTGGAACACACCATAATAGGAACGTATGGCCATAACTGGTACACCTACCCTACTGATTTATTCTAACCTATTCTAACTGACTGTTCCATGCACTACCAAACATTAAGATTCCGAAGGCATTAAAGGACGTCAAACTGGCATTATTCTAAGCTGTCCAATAAAATCACCAAGGTCTTAGAACAAGAGTTTCCTTCATATTATTTCGCCTCAGAATTGTAAAAGTTTTTGACAATGCTCAAGCAGATCAAATCAACCGAAGCTATGCTGCTCATTTGCTAGTGAGCCACGATAGTGAAACGTACCATTTACAGTTGTTGCAGCTGGAACTATTCGTTGGGATGGTGGACCTCCCCATACTGCCACTATTTGAGGAGCATATATTGCTGGATTACGCCGTACTGACTAGAAAGTTAAGATAGTATCCTACTGGAAGTCAATGATTTTTTTTAAACTCTTCATAGATTTCGTGCTTTTAGGTTTCGTATGATGATTGAGGATACCAAAACACTCGCTTCGTTACCTTTATGTTCTATAGAGGCAACCAGATGACTCGTGCGACACGATGAAATAAAGAAGAAGTCTGCAAGGTTGTCAAGAGGGTATACACATTTTAATACTGTGAAATAATAATTTATGCAATTCTCACAATAAAAAGAATACTTCGAC